GCAAAGGCCGTCGCAAAGCTAAACTAAAGAAAAACAAGGTGATACATAAATTCATAATTACTTGTGACTTTATATATTAATACACACATATATATATAACGAGACTTTCATAGAGTAAATGGCATAAATAAAAATCTGTATGCTATATTTTCACATGTGAAAAATAGCGATATGTCCAATCAGAAGCGCGTATAGCATTTCTCACACTGTAAAAAATAACCAATCACAACACAGAAAAACCGTAATCAGCCAATCAGAAAGCGACGTTCACAACACTGAAATGGCTTCTCTCACATACCGCGCGTTGATGGCAAAATGGCTCAAGGTGAACTGTGTTTGTTGATCAAAATTCCACATTTGAAGAGTTTATTAGTGGACAGGAAGGCAAACATAACTAAAGCAAAGTAAGAAGAAAAGTTTTTCTTCAAGAGAATATAATTAAGTTTTTATTAAAAAGTATGCCGAATGAAAGTCTCGTTATATATAATAAACAGCATATAGCATGGAAAGTGCTTTGTACGGGATTTTATTCAGGAGTTGTTTGCATCATAACCTCACTCGCTCGTTCCTCGCTCGTTCGTTGTATGATGCAAACAACTCGTGAATAAAATCCCGTACGTCGCACTTAATTGCATTATGGGTTTTTTAATTTCAGAATTAGAATACCATGGCTTTCAAATGGAAATAAGGAAACTGCCTCAATACTATTAATAATTATAAAATAATAATTGTAATGATAAAGAATGGTATTGCCTTCCGAGTCATTTGTTGTCATATTTCATTTTCCACATTTGTTTGCTTTTTTTTTGCGCTGCTTGCGATTGTTTTTTAGCAAGCCAACCTTCTAAAGGTATCTACTAAACCTTTCCTTGCTGCTTGTGGTAAAGCTCCATTGACAAGCATGTAAATCTTAAAAAAAAGGAAAAAAAGAAGAAGAAAAATCTTTAAAAAAAACGCAAAAAAAGAAGAAGAAAAAACATCTGAGTATCGTTTTCCAATTATTGTTGTGTCCGTCCAGGAATTTTCGTTTGTCTGTCAAAATGTCCGTCATGTTTTTCAAATAATAGTCTTTGAGTCTCGAACGTCGTCCAAAGCTGATATGTGCAAGCGCCATTGAAAGAGGAACCCAAAACTCAAGACCATGCGGCGGATAGTTTGTATTTGACTTGTGTGAGTTGCTTAGCTCGTTTATTGATCGTTTTCAACCATTCCCATTAGATTCAAGAAATAAAAGAGCGGCGACCATGTGGGAGAAATGAACATTAGATACTACTGAGAAATCCTTTGCATCCTCGGGAACCCAGGAGTAATCTTCTGTCGTTCGTTCCTCACTCCCAGAAAAAATTCCCCTGGGCACGAAGTCTGTTAGACCTTGTTCTCGATTCGAAATTCAAAATGGCGGCCAGTAAGTTAATCAACCAATCAGAATGTTCGAGTGAATCACTCGACCAATCAGA